GAATAATCTTTGTCATATCTATGTCAGTCTTAGACTTCAAAGTGTTGAAAAGCCAATAACATTCCCAAAGTTTATTTTGCTCTGGGAGAGTATTTCCTCTGATGCTGATTCAGTTTCTTAGAAAAGTAACTCATTGGTTTCTCCTGACTCATCATCAGACAGGACTTACTTGAGAAAGGATGTATTGGCACTGGAGGGGGTGCAAAGGAGGTTCACTAGGTTGATTCCGGAGTTGAGGGGGTTGGCTTATGAGGAGAGACTGAGTAGATTGGGATTATATTCATTGGAATTCAGAAGATTGAGGGTGGATCTTATAGAGACATATAAAATTATGAAGGGAATAGATAAGATAGAAGTAGAGAGGATGTTTCCACTGGCAGGTGAAGCTAGGACAAGAGGGCATAGCCTCAAGATTAGAGGGAGCAGATTTAGGACTGAATTGAGAAGGAACTTCCTCACCCAGAGGGTTGTTAATCTATGGAATTCCTTGCCCAGTGAAGTAGTTGACGCTACTTCAGTAAACGTTTTTAAAGATAAGATAGATTTTTTTTGAACAATAAAGGAATTAAGGGATATGGTGAGAACGCGGGTAAGTGGATCTGAGTCCACGAAAAGATCAGCCATGATCTTATTGAATGGCGGAGCAGGCTCGAAGGTCCGGACAGCCTACTCCTGCTCCTAGTTCTTATGTTCTAGGACTGCAGCTACCGTAAGTCACTAATCAATCTCCATTTTGGAAAGTCTTGAAAACTTGGGGGTGCCAGTACTGGTTTATTTGATGGGGTTGCCATCAACTTCTCAATGGCAGTCCAACGTTCCATTAACCATTCCACATCTGCTTGTTTCCTTCACAAATGTGGCAAAAGTACAGGTGATGCAAGTTAAGTACACATTCTTAAAAACTTCATGGTATCCTGTTTATTTTTAGGAACAGATTTTCACTGTTCTTGGCAACACCTGTTCTTATCTTCTGATACTCTAGGAAAAATAGTCAGGCTTTCATAAATTTTTGGTTAAATTTATCACGAAGCTAGCCAGCTACAATTACTTGAACTGATCTTCTACTTATCTCACATACTCTGCCCATGTGCTGCTATATCTTACAACATCGTCTAAATAAACGATACAGACTTCAGCTCTGACTTGATGCATAAACCTTTGGAATGTAGCTAGGGCATTCTTTCATCCAATGTCATCACTCATTATTGGTATAGCCCTCTTGGTGTGACATTGTTAATGTTAATGGCACTTGCCAATACTCCTTCAATTGATCAGCCTACCAACACAGTCAATACTGTATTCTACCCATGGAACTTTATACATATCAGTTTTTGTGAGTGTATTTACCTTTCTGTAGTTTCAACAAAATCTAGTTGACTGTTCTGATTTAGGAACTAACAGTACCAGTGACCTCCAGCCACTTTGACTGGGTTCTATCAAGTGGTTTCCCAGCATGTACTAACCCTCTGTTTCTACCTGAGCTTGTCTTTCTGGGTTCGATTGATGAGGATACTGATTTAGTTCCTACATCCACATCATGCCTAGATATTGTAGTAGATCCAGGTGAATCTCCACAGATTACCTGATCCTTTCCAAGTAGTTTTACAAGACCCTCCCATTGCCCTTTCTCTAAATATGAAAACAGTGTCTAACTGCCCCTGTATTTCTGTGTTAATGAGTTTGATTGTAGAAGGTTCACTTTGAGAACCATCAGCCTCTGCGCTCTGCGACAAACGTCAACACCTTCCGGTTGCAAACCATTTCAACTCCCACTCCCACTCCCTGGGGACATGTCCATCCTGAACCTCCACCAGTGTCACAATGACACCACCCGCAAACTGGAGGAACAGCACCTCATATTCTGCCTCGGAAGCCTACAGCCCAATGGCCTAAATGTGGATTTTATCAGTTTCAAAATCTCCCCACTCCCGGCCTCATCCAATGACCAACCCTCCCTCTCATCAGTCAGAACTGTCAACCTCTCCTTCCATTTTTACTGTCGCTGCCATCTTTTTCCATTCTTACCACCTGATACACTTTCTCCTCCTCCTCTTCCTCTTCCCTGCAAGGATATGTTTCAATATATTTATGTGACACAACTGATTCTCCTTCCTATGATCAGAGGGATCTGTCAAACACAAGGTGTCCTGATTTATGAATGTCCGACTTATGAACATTATCCAATACACGGCAGTAATTTTAAAGATCCATCAGACGAACTTTTTCTTGAACTTTACAAACCATTGCTTTACATTGCCTTGCATTGTGTTCTGACTTGCATACAAATTGACTTGCAAACGTACTACAGAACAGGACACATTCGCAAAGAACAATACAGCACAGGAACGGGCCCTTTTGCCCTCCAAGCCTGCACCAACATATTTTGCCCTTCCATACTAAAGGGATCCGTATCCCTCTATTCCCTTCCTATTCATGTCTTCGTCCAGGTGCTTCTTCAATGCTGCTATTGTGTCTGCCTCCATCACCTCCTCTGGCAGCATGTTCCAAGGACTGCCAGTAATTCAGTTTAATAGCCTTCCTAACTACTTTGTATGGCCACTGAATTTCACTTTCAGAGGTTGACCTTGCAAATGGAATAATGCCGATACTTTGTCCCCACTTGAAACATTGCAGAATTTTTGCCCATTCTTTCAGTTTTGCCTGTGAAACTTCCACTTGCATTACCCTCCATGCTCATGACAGAATTCCACTTTCCCAATTTCTACCCTATTTGAATTAGTGTGAAAAAGGTTTAGTTTTATGGATTAGTTCATAATCATTTGCCATTACAGCTACCTGTCTAGCAGTTGCAACCCTTTAGTCCCTAATATAATTCCTTATTATATAAGGTGGTGAATTTTTAAATGCCTGTCAAAGAATAATCTCTCTGAAGACTTCATACATGATTTCAACGTCTAATGCTCATCAACATTACTTTGGTTAACTGTTTCAAATTTAATATAGGTTTTTCCAGGCTGTATCCTTAAAGTCCGAAACCTCTATTTGTATGCCTCAGGCACGAACTGGCATACAGCCAATATAGTTTTTATTACAGTGTCATCACCCCTTGAAATCTCAAACAGTAAAGCTAAATTCCCTGTATTTTACCTGTCAACACACTCTGCCTGAGCAATGTCAGATTCCTTTTGACCAATTCACTTGTCTCACTATTTTCTCAAAGGACATAAAAATGCCTGCACATCAACTTACTCCAATTTTGGCAGGACAAGTACAAACTTAAACATATCTTCATTGGGCCTTAGATTATGCCTTAGATTCTCTTCACCAGAGTCTGCATCAGGACCTGATGGTTCTTTTTCAACTCCAGTACATTAAGCTTAAATTCCTTATCTGTCACTTCCTTTTCCCTGTACAATTCTAATTCTAGTCTTCTAATTTCCATTCTTTTCATTTCCATTTCCCTTTCCTTATCTTTTTCTATTCTTTCTTTGTCTTTTTCTGCTCGTTAGAATTCCATCTCTAGCTATTTCATTTTTTTTAAATATCCCATCTGCTTTGACTATAACTGAAAATCACCAAATTCTGATGCTTCATTATTAGGAGTACCGGGTCTCTCTTGTATTTCTGCTCAACCCAAGTGCTATGCTAGTCCTTTAGTTATGTCTGTCTTCTTCAAGTTAGTAAACATAGCCATCCTCAACTTACTGGCCAATTCAAGTAACTTGGTTTTGGAAGTTTACTTCAGACAATCAGGGACAATGCTGCAGAAAATCCTTTGCTATTTCCAATGCCATATATTGTTTGTATTGAAGACCTGAGGTTTTATTTACCTTTATCATTTACTTATGTCACACTTGTGAGACAGTGCGTTGATTTTCAAGGCTCACCACTCCCAAGGTCACTACAGAAGTTAATCAGTTAATCGAAGCTCACAAAGTCCCCAGTTTACCTGTTTGAATCTAGGTAACACGAAATGCTGACCAGGTTCCTGTACTTAACTAGAACTACTTTTTATCACCAATAAGTAAACTCTAATCACAAACAATTAGCTATGAAGTATCAACATATGTCTCTGGTTAATACTCTAACCCCTCCTTTAAAATCCCTACAAAAACACTCTAACACTCACTTGCACACACAGAAACAAAAAATTGGTTTTATGGATGGAGGGAAAATAACAACTGAGAAATTCTTCCCAATAGCACCAGTCCACAAGGTTCATTGAGACATTCCTTTGGCTTGGCGGGATTTTAGAGTTATGGAGTCATGCAACACGGGAACAGATCCTTCGGCCCAACCAGTCCATGCCGATTATAATCCCAAACTAAACTAGTCCTACCTGCCTGTGCTTGGCCCATATCTCTCCAAACCATTTTTATTCATGTAGTTATCCAAATGTCTTTTAATAAATGTCCTTTCTGTTCTTAATCTCCTATCTCCAGGTTCCTTCACTTCTTCACAGGAGTGCAGTGCAGTTGGTACACTAACTACAAAGTTTCTCAGTTCCTAGATAAAGACAATGGTCTACAGCAACAGGTGGGATAAAATAACTGGATTTCTTTGAGTTTCAGGTATTTTTACTGCAGAGAGGGACCAACACATAACCTGTCCTTCCAGCAGGCTGAAGTCTTCTCAATGAATCATTCGCACCCATAAGCTGTTCAGCTGCCCAGGAACCAATCAGAGAGTTGTTGTCAGACTAACAGCATTTGCATCCAAGACTGGTCACAATTACACAAACCAATCAGCTACCTGTTGCTGTCGGGATCGCACTCTGCACACACCCTGGTGATATGTCATCTACAAATAGCTTTCCCCTGCTGTTTGAATGAAGCAGCAGTGTAAACATCACATACAATGAGTTTCAGTGACTTGTTTATTAAAGTGTTGCAATATTTTCCACACTACTTTGGTTTTAAAGCAGTCTTTTTTTTCTATTTTAATTGAGGAAACAGGAAATAAAATTACATGGTCTTATGGGCCGACATTGAAAAGTGCAGAGGTGCATCCCAATTAATTACTGTGCTCTTTCTCCATAGTTTCGTTGCTAAAGAATCTGAAACATGCAAACATCGTCACTCTACACGACATCATTCACACTGACCGCTCACTCACCCTCGTTTTTGAGTACCTGGTAAGCCAACGAAGTGGGGTAGCTCACTCACAACCTTTCTTTTCATTCTAAAATAAGTGTTTTTGTTTGTAAGTTCCATTCTGAACACATCTTTAGTTTTGTACCTCGGGGCCATAAAACAATTTGATGGCAGGATTAGACATAGCGCAAAACTACTGCCACGACACCATAGCTTCCCCAAATGTGGTTTCCAAAAGTTTGGAGATAATGGTCTCCAAGGCAGCAATGGTTGCTGTGGAAATTTGACAAATGTTGCAAAGCCCCTTTAAATTCCTTGCATTTTTTTATTGTGGGTGAGGGCTACCTGGTTGATTTATTCTTAAGGCCTGATTCCTGTCCTGAAAACAGACATGGGAGATGTATTAGTACATCAGGACTCATGATGAAGAGTGTAAACCCCAAACATCAAATTTCCTGCTCCTCTGATGCTGCCTGACCTGCTGTATTCCTCCAGCTCCATACTGTATTGACTGGTAATCGTGAGGCTTAGCTGATACGCTTGGGAATGTGGGATCAAATCCAAGCATAGGGGCCTGTGAAATCTAATTCCAATCAATAACTTTGGAATGTAAAGCTACTCGCATATGATTCCCATGAAATTATCATCACTTGTTGTAAAAATGAAGGCTCTTTAATGTCGATTAGGCAAGGAATGTCCAATAGGCCCTTTGAAATGGCCTGGTGATCAATCAAGGAATGAGCAACATATACTGGCCTCGTCAGTGACTCCGATCACGGTATAAAGAAAACCTGTGGGAAGGTGGATGCATTTTAGTTAAAGAATTCATCAGTATAAACATCACCAGCACCCCTCCTTTCCCTGTCTCACAGCAGTCCATCCACCCTCTTCTCCCACCCCACTCTCACCCCTCTGGGATCACAGTTATTTTCCAGCCTCAAAATGGAGCTACACTGGGAAAATGTATGGGGAGTATCTCTTCACACTGTCCCAGCAAACATTCCCAGTAAGGACAGCATAATTTGATTTAGAATAAAACTCATTCTTGCATCAACCTTACTGCAGTGGGTGACCCTATTGTTCCTGAATCCCTACAGTGTGGAAGCAGGCCATTCAGCCCATTGAGTCCACACTGACCCTCCAGTGAGCATCCCACCCAAACCCACCCCATCTCTGCATTGTCCATGGCTAATCCACCTAGCCTGCACGTCCCTGGACACTATGGGCATGGCCAATCCACTGAAACAGCACATCTTTAGATCGTTGGAGGAAACGCATGCGGACACAGGGAGAACATGCAAGCTCCACACAAACAGTCACCTGAGGGTCAAATGAACCCAGGTCCCTGGTGCTGTGAGGCAGCAGTGCTAATCACTGTGCCACCATCAGAAAGTTTTAGATTTAAGCACAAGTATAGAGACTTCCCGTATAATCTGGGCAGTTGTTCTGAGAGAAGGCTTCCATGTTGGAGGTGAAGTTTCTGGTTTGAGCTATTAAAGCAAACCCCTTCTTAGATGGATGTAAAACATTGTTTAGCACTATATGAGAGAGAGAGCAGCATCTCTAAATTATCTGCTCATTATATCGTTATTGCTTACTGTGTACAAATCTGTTGCCAAGTTTCCTACATTATATGGTAACTACAGTTCACAAGCATCTCATTGTTGGAAGGTACTTTGAGACTCCCTGAAGTTGTAAGAAGCTAAGAAATTTAGGCACCAGGGTGGAGGACTGTGAAATATTAGAAGAAATGAACATGGACCGAGGAAATACTAGAAGGTTTAGCAGCCTTAAAAGTGGATAAGATGTATTCCAGGTTGTTGAGGGAGGCAAGGGACTAGATATCAAGAATCCTAGCAGTAATTTTCAAGCTTTCTCTGGTCACACATGAGGTGGAGGAGTACTAACACTGTCCCATTATTAAAAAAACAAGCAAAGGATACACCAACAATGACAGGCCAATCAGTCTAACCAGTTGGTGGGGAAGTTACTAAAAAGAATTGTGAGGAAGAGAACATGCCTGCACTTGGAGAGACACAGATTAATCAGGGATAATCAGTGTGGATTTGTTAAAGGAAAGTTGTGATTCACAAATTTGATCAAATTTTTGAGGAGGTAACCAGGGCTGTTTACAACGATAATGCATTTGATAAAGCTTACATGGAATTTAGCAAGGCTTTTAGACCATAGACATAGGAGTAGAATTAGACCATTCAGTTCAAAGGGTCTGCTCCACCATTCGAGCATGGCAAATATGTTTCTCAAACCCATTCTCCTGTCTTCTCCCCATAACCTTTGATCCCCTTAACAATCAAGAAACTACCTATTTCTGTCTTACATACTCTCAATGACTCGGCCTCCACAGCCCTCTGTGGCAATGAGTTCCACAGCTACACCACCCTCTGGCTGAAGAAATTCCTCCTCATCTCAGTTCTAAAGTGTCATCCCCTTACCCTGAGGCTGTGCGCTTGGGTCCTAGTCTCTCGTACTACCAGTGGTAACATCTTCTCCAAGTCCACGATATCCAGACCTCTTTCCTGTCCCTCCCTTAGCAATGTTTCTGTCATGGCTATAATATCCCAGTCCCACGTACCTAGCAAGGCCCTGAGTTCATCGGCCTTAGGTGTCAGCCCTCTTGCATTGAAACAGATGCAATTTAATCTAACAGACATTCTTTGATCCTTGTCCTGTTCCAGCCTGATGTGTCTCTTCAACTTGCTATTTCTGATTACTGTATCTTCTTGCAGCCTCACACTTGCCTCCCTGCTGTTGAGGATCCCACCCACCCCTCCCTGCCAATCTAGTTCAAACCCTCCCTTGCAGCACAAGCAAATCTGCCCACCAGGATATTGGTCCCCCTCCAGTTCAGGTGAAACCTGTCCCTCTTGAACAGGTCATTTCTGCCCCAGAAAAGATCCCAATGATCCAAGATTTTAATTCCTGCCCCCTACACCAATTCTTTAGCCACACATTCATCTGCCATCTGCCATATCCTCCTATTCTTAGCCTCACTCGAACATGGCACTGGAAGTAAACGGAGATTATCACTGTTGAGGTCCTGGCTTTTAACTTTTTTTCCGAGCTCTCTCTAGTCACTGTAATGCAGGACCACATCCCTATTTCAATCTCTGTCATTTGTGCGAACGTGCTGCTCATCCTCCCCCTGGAGAACGTTCTGCAGTCGTTTCAGATTATCCTGGATCCTGGCACCCATGAAGCAATACACCATCCTTGATTTCCATTTGCAACCACAGAATCTCCTGTCTGCCCCTAACTATTGGATCTCCTATCACAAAGGTCCTGTTTACCTTCACCCTTTCCTGTTGTGCCCTACAGCCAGTTGTAGTGCCACCAACCTGGCTGTTGCTGCTTTCCTCTGATCAGTCATACCCCCAAACAGTATCCAAAACGGTATACCTGTTTTCAAGGGGAATGGCCACAGGAGATTTCTGCCTTCTCTGTGCACTCCCTTTGCCTATCCTGGTGGTCATCCATTTATTGTCTGCCTGCACCGTAAGTGTGAAAATATGTAGCTTTTCTGAGGAAGGGTCTAGGCCCGAAACGTCAGCCTCTCTGCTCCTATGATGCTGCTTGGCCTGCTGTGTTCATCCAGCCCTGTACCTTGTTGTCTCTTTGTATTCTGTAAGCTTCAATCAGGTCCCCCTTTGTCCTTCTACACTCGATCAAGTACAGACCCAGAGTGATCAACTGCTCCTCATGTGACAAGCACTTCATAGTCATAGAGTCATACAGCACAAAATACAGGCCATTCGATCCAACCAGTCCATTCCGACCATAATCCCAATCTAAACTAGTCCCACCTGCCTGCACTTGGTCCATATTCTTCCAAATATTTTTTATTCATGTACTTACCTAAATGTCTTTTAAACATTGTAACTGTACCTGCATCCACCACTTCCTCTGGAAGTTCATTCCACATATGAACCACTCTCAATGTAAAAACATTCTCCTAATGTTTAAATCTTTCTCTTCTCACCTTAAAAATATGCCTCTTTGTCTTGAAATTCCAAGTCTAGGGAAAAGACACCTACCATTCACCTTATCTATGCCCCTCATGATTTTATAAACCTCATCTCTGGGCATCATTCTTGTAACCCTCCTCTGGATCCCCCTCCAACACCAGCATATCCTGCTTTAGATAAAAGGCCTTCCTTTGATAAGGTCCCTCATGGTCAAGAAAATAACAGCCAATGGCATCCAAGACAAAATAGCACTTTGGATCCAAAACTGACTGAGTGGCAGGAGCGAAAGCTGATGGTAGAGGGATGTTTCTGTGACTGGGAGTTTGGTTCCAATGGGGTTCCATGAGGCTTGGTGCTGGGGCCCTGGCTATTTGTGGTGTATATTAATGGTGATTTAAATGTAGGGAATGGTCAAGGAGTCAAAGGAAAATTGATAGGGTGGCAAGTAGTGAGGGAGATAGTCGTAAACTGTGGGAGGGTACCAACAAACTGATCAACTAGGCAGAGAAATGGCTAATGGAATTCAACCTGGAAAGGTGTGAGGTAATGCATTTAGGAAGTGCTAACAAGGGATAAGATTACACCAAGAATGGTAGGATCCTGGAAAATACTGAACATCAGAGGGACCTTGATGGGCATATCCACAGATTCTGGGTAGCAGGGTTGGTAGTTAAGGTGGTTGAGAAAAGATACAGGATGCTTGCCTTTATTAGCTGAAGCATAGAATACTCAAAGATAGGCTAGGACTGTTTTCTTTGACGCCATGCAGGTTGGGAGGGCACCTGGTAGAGGCATTAGATTATGAAGGGCACAGATAGGGTGAACGGTAAGGCACATTTTCCATGAGTAGAGAGGTCAATATCCAGGGATCAGAGATTTAAAGTAAAAGGTAGAATGCTTGGAGGAGAGTTGAGGAGAATTATTTTCACTCAGGGTGGTGGGAGTCTGGAATAGAATTAGAATTAGCTTTATTGTCATATGTACTCAGATGAGTACAGTGAAAAGTTTACAAGTCTCCACTAAAAAGGTCATCTTAGGTACAAAGGTACCCGGGTACAGATTCTTAAAATCAGATCCTTAGGAATAAATTACAGAAATATAAAATCATGGGAATAAAGTAGAAAAATAAAGGAATAAAAAGATCAGAATTACAGTCCTATCCCCCAAGTCTGCGCCGCCACCAGCCTCCAGACTGCAAAAGGAATAAAAGATAAATTACATAAATAGAGTTTATCTTGTGAACAAGGGTTCTATAATCACTAATACGGGGCTTTTGCAAGGTCCCACAGCCAGAAGTCCTCACTCCGGGCACCACCTGCGCCACAGTCTGGTCAGTGTTTCAGGCAGTGCCACCAGTGCAGCCAAAGACCCCCCAGGTCAGACCCCGAGCTCCTGAGTCCACGCTGCGGGCCTACCACAGCCAGGACTCCTCTTCTGAGCACTCCCACCGTCACAGCTAATGACCCGCCGAGGTCCTGAGTCCAGGCTCTGGGCCTACCACAGTCAAGAATCTTCGCCCTGGGCACCACCACTGCTTCAGCCAACCAACAATGCTCCGGCTTTCCCATGGTGTCAGAAGATGAAGGAAAAAAAGGGAAAGAAAAGACAAAAGAAGGGGAAAAAAAGTAGAAGCAGATGGAGCAGACAAACTCTGGGCTCCTGGGCTAAGGAGCCTACATGCTGTACTGCTATCACTCCACTGCTATCTTGAGAATTCACTGCCTGAAAGGCTGGTTGAGTCAGTATCTTTTGTAACATTGAAGTAGTATTTAGATGTTCTCTTGTATCACCATAGCCTCCACAGTGATAGGCCAAGAGCTGGAAAATGGGATTACTGTTAGTCAGATCTTTGTGGATACCATGGGCAAAATGACCACCTTCTGTGCCTTAAACATCTATGAATCTCTAAATGTGGGTCCTCTTTAATTTGACCTTCCAAAAGTGATATTTCAGGGGGTGTGAGAGCTGCAGAACTGTCCTCCTGCTACTAGATGTCACTGTATCCATTTGTTTTGCAGGACAGTGACCTGAAACAATACATGGACAACTGTGGGAACATCATGAGCATGCACAATGTCAAGGTGAGAAAAATTTCCAGTTTTTTTGAGCCATGGGATTTCTTCAAAATGGAAAACAAAGGTCAGAATTCTGTTTGAAGCAGTATGCCCATGTAAGCTAGATGGTATAATGTTGGGGGACTTTGTCTCATAAACCCCTGTTGTGAATTGTAAACTCCCATGCATTGACCATTGGTGTATCCTTTGGACATTCCCATGCCATTTGGAAAAGGAACAAACTCTGTTACCTGTAGGAGCAAATTACTGCAGATGCTGGAATCTGTATTGGAAACAAAAAATGCTGGACACCACAGCAGGTCAGCTTCAGCTCTGATGAAGAGTTATCGAGACTCGAACCATTAACTTGCTCTTTCTCCATAGGTGCTGCCTGAACTGCTGTGAGTTCCAGCAGTTTTGTTTCCAAACTCTGTTCCCTGATTGGATTAATCTTATCTGTCACTGAAATCATGCATGTTTTGATCATTATTAGTTTAAAAAATATTCTTACGTAGGATATGGGTATCACTCACAAAGCCACTGTCCCTAATTTCCTGTGAACTGAGGGCAATTAAGAGGCAGCTATGTTGCAATGGTCCTGGAGTCACTTGTGGGCCATATTGGGTAAGGAAGGCAGATTCCCTTCCTTTAAGATGACTTATGAGCAGATGGGTTTTGAGACAATGATCACCGTTACCAGAGACCAGCTTTGTAGTCCACATTTTTGTTTAATGAATTGAATTGTAATCCCACCAGCTGCTATGGTTGGATTTCCAATTATTGTATGTCCTTTGGGCTTCTGGATTGCTAACTCAACAACTTTACTCCACCCTCCCTGGAATGAGTAAGAGTATTCAAAAGAAATTAAACGAATAAGATTTTCTTTCAAGTCCCCATTGCTTGCAGTACTGTCCCAGAGAATCTGGGTCAACTCCAGTTGAACCCAACCATTCATTCTTTTGCTGAAACAACTGAGTTACTGAGTAATCAGTCTTCGGAAATTTCCAACACATTGACAAGGACCCAAAAGTCCATTTGCTTTGAAGTAAAAACCTATATTTTTTCTCCCACTCGTGTTGTGCCTTGTGATCTGGAGGCGATAATTGAAATTAATGTTTAATGAACTTTCAGCTTCAGTGAGGCAGATTTTCGAAACACGGAAGTCTCACACCTCCCTCCCTACCCCATTCATCCTGTCAAGGTCTGGGTAGAGAGAATGAAGTTCTGAAGGAGGGTCACCGGAGCCGAACCGTTAACTCTGTTTTTTACTTCACAGATGCTGCCAGACCTGCTGAGCTTTTCCAGCAACTTTGATTTTGTTCCTGATTTACCAGTTTTTTCGGTTTTTGTCGTTGTTGAGATGATGTGTTGCCCTGGGTGTTGGAAATGTTGATTTTAAGATAGTCCAGCTGTTACATCCTGTCACACTAATAATCAACATGCTTTTGCTGAAATAATTAATTGGAGAGAAGAACCTAATTGTATGGTATGTGAAGGAAAAGAAAGAATGGAAAGTAATCCTGTAACTTTCAGCTTTTGTGGAGTGTCATTATAATTAGGTTTCTGAATTGCAACCTGCACCATATCCTGTTCACCTTTCACTCCTGCACTTACACCAGCCCTGTCCCTGTACCTTGTCAATTTTAAAATTCCTGCCTTGTTTTCAAATCCCTACAAGGGTATGGAATGAACCAGATGGCAACACTTCCCAAACCGTATAAAAATAGAAAATGCTGACAAGATTTGTGTTTTCTGATGAAAAGCCATTGAGCTGAAACGTTAACTTTATTTCTTACTCTCTAACTGATGCCAGACCAGCTAAGGTTTTCCAGCGCTGACTCTTTCAATTTCAGTTTTCCAGCACCCGCATGATTTTGCTTTTGTACTTTTGTAAATGGTGGATGTTTGGTATGTGATTGGATTTCTCCTCATTAAAGTTCCCCACCTTTGTTTCTGATTCCCCGCATGGCCTTTCCTTCCCTTTATCTACAATCTCCAGCAGTTTCTGACCCAGTTCACGTTATTCCAACATTGACAGCCATGACTTCAGCTGCCTGAAACCTAGGCTCAGGAATTCCATCCCTGAACCGTTCCATCTTTTTCTTCTCCTTTAAGACTGCATTTAGAATCCTTAAAACCTTAAATCTCTTCACTGAGACTTTGGCCACCCGTCCTAATTTCTTCTTAGTTTAGTTTACTCAGTGTTGAATTTGGCTTAATTCTATTCCTGAGAAGCACCTTGGGGATGTTTTATTTTGTCTGTTAAAGGTGCTATGTCAATTGATAAATACACATGTTTTAAAAATTTGTTTGATGTGGATGTCACTCACTAAGCAGCATTTATTGCCCATCTCTACTTGCCCCAGAAGGCAGTTAAGAGTCAACCACACTGTTGTGGGTCTGGAGTCACATGTTGGTCAGACTAGGTAAGATTGGCAGTTCCCTTCCCTAAAGGACATTAATGAACCAGATTGGCTTTTCTCTTGGCAATGGTTTCATCGTCGTCATTAGGCTCATATTCCAGATTTTCTTAGAGGGATTCAAACCTGGGTCTGCAGAACATTACCTGGGTTTCTGAGCTAATTGTTTCATATTAATACAAAGAGGCTATCACCTCCCCATACACATTCAAATTTAAGAATTTGAGTATCAGAGTTGGGAAGTAATGTTGAGGTTGTATAGGACATTGGTGAGGCCTCTTCTGGAGTACCGTGTCCAGTTCTGGTCAACCAGTTCTCGGAGGGATATTTTTAAGCTGGAGAGAATTCAGAAGAAATTGACCAGGATGTTGCTGGGTATAGAAGCTTTGAGTTATAAAGAAAGGCTGGATAGGCTGGGACTTTTTTCATTGGAGTGTAGGAGGTTGAGAGGTGAGCTTGTAGAAGTTTATAAAATCATGATGGTAGGTATCTTTTCTCTAAGATTCGCATTTCAAGACTAGGGAACACATTTTCAAAGTGGGAGGAAAGAAATTTAAAAAAGACATGAGGGACAATTTTTTTACACAGAGAGTGGTGTGCATGTGGAATGAACGCCCTGAGGAAGTGATGGATGTGGGCACAATTACAACGTTTAAAAGGCATTTGGATAAGTACATAAATAGGAAGAACCTGGAGCAGGAGGTGAAACTAGTTTAGTTTGGGGTTATGTTCAGCATTGACTAGTTGGACCGAAGGTTTGTTTCCATGCTGTATGACTCTATGACTCTAAGAAGCTGCAAAAGGTTGTTGGTTGCAGAAGATGTATCTGCAGGTTACATTATTGAGATTTTCCTGACATTAGTCTTCCCTTCCCTGCTTTCTTTTGGCATTTTGAGAGAAGGCGATGACAGGGCGATAATGTCAGTAACCTCAAGGCTAACGCTCCAGAGACATGGTCTCATCAAGAGTGGGTGGAATTCAAATTCCATTTATAAAATCTGGTTTTGAAAGCTAGTCTTAATCACCATGAAACTACCATTGATTGTTGTGAAAACCCACCTATTCTAGTTGAGTCCTTTAGCAAAGACAATCTGCTATCCTTACCTGGTCTCCAGAACCACAGCTATGTGGTTGACTCTTAACTGCCCTCTGAAATGGCATAGCAAGCTACTCAGATCTGGGAGATGTAGAGGTGCCCGGTCTAAAAGGGATTTGAAATTGCAGGACAGATTTTGGAAAATACATAAGGAAGGAAGATGGAGATTCAACAACAGAATGCAGCCACAGAGCAACAAACAGACTCCACTCATATCTCAGAGCCAAAAGCTAGCAATACTTAGAAACGAATGTAATGGTTATACTGGAGCTGTCATATGAAATATGTAAGATGAGTTGGACCAGTATGTATCATTTGTAAGTTTTATTTTTTTTCCCTTCTTGGATATCCTTTGTTATATATACAACTTACTGTGAAAGTGTTCACCTTTAAGGACTCCATTGTGCTGCCTGTATACAATGTTGTGGCTCTGCCTGGCTTTTAAGGCAGTAGGAGCTGGAAACAATGTTTCCACAGAAATAAAATAACGCAGTGTGACTGTCAATGATATGATGTCTTTCCTGACACAGATATTCATGTTCCAACTATTGAGAGGCTTGGCTTATTGCCACAAACGCAAGGTTCTACATCGAGACCTGAAGCCACAGAACCTGCTCATTAATGAACGAGGAGAATTAAAACTAGCAGATTTCGGTAAGCTTCTTCATCCCCATCTTCTGTCAGAATTGTATTCTCTCTTGTTTTTAACATTTTGATCATATTGTTAAACTGGGATGTTAAGACCAAGGATGGATAAATGCAAAGTTGAGAAATCTCCTGCCCTCTCTATGCCAGCTACATTTATGAGCCAGATATTTACTCAAGTTGCAGCACTGTGTTGCCGGCAGCGATGTAACTGGGCAAGGCGATGCATGTGATGGGTAAGTTTGCTGAGTGTTGGCTATCAATGGGTGGAAGATCTCACCTCTGGCTGGGAACAGCCAAAAGAGAGCAGCTCAGGGAGTGCACCCAGCAAGTATTCTCGGGCTAGTATTGTAGAGCACGCCCAGGGTGTGATCATTTATGAGGAAAGCTGAGTGAAGGGAATTGCTAACTTGTAAAGAACAGCAGCTGGTCTCCAAAGATTAAACTGCAATGGGAGACTACACAAAGCAACCTTTAAAACAAGAAGATTAAGGGGTGATTTATTGAAGTTTTCACAGTATTATTTTAAGAGGAACCAGATGCTGCAGGGACTGGTGGGTGTTTGTTATAAGGAGAGGCTGGATAGGCTAAGATTTTTTTCCTAGGAACAAATGAGATTGAGGGGTGACCTTATCGAGTTTTATAAAATCATGAGGGGCATGGATAGGGTGAATAACCAAGGTCTTTTTCCCAGTGTAGGGGAGTCCAAGACTAGAGGGCATAGGTTTAAGATGAGAGGGGAAAGATTTAAAAGGAACCTAAGGGACAACTTTTTCTCACAGAGGGTGGTACATGTATGGAACAAACTGCTGGAGGAACTAATAGTGGCAAGTGCAATTACAACATTTAAAAGACATTTGGACAGGAACATGGATGGGAAAGGATTAGAGGGATATGGGCCAAATGCAGCTAAATGGGACTAATTAAGTTTGGGATACCTGGTTGGTATGGACGAGTTGGACTGAAAGGTCTGTTTCTGTGCTGTATGACTCTGACTCTATGATTGAGTAAATCAATATAAATTATTTCTGCTGGCTGAGGGCCTAGGACCAAAGGGCATAGACTAAACATTGAGGACAGGTTTTCACAACAGGAAAGGTACTTCCGCTAGTAAAGCAATGGTAAAACTTTGTTTGGAATTCACTTAACTATGCAGAGTCAATTATTCAGTTTTAACCTGAGGTTGATCCATTTTTGTTACAGTTAAATAGAGATGTGTGTCAAAGATAGCACACAAAATGTAGATTCCCTGTTTTGTTTTCATCAGCACAGACCTCTGAGATCCTAGCGTGGCAGCAATTCCGAAACCAGAATGCCATGATGGGAATGCTGATTGGCACACAGGATTCTCGGGGCAGCTGTGCAGCTTAGAGAGAACATTGCAGATCAGCCATAATCTCATTGACTGATGCTAGAGGATCTAGGAGCTAAATAGCCTCCTCATGTTCCTTGGGCGAACTTTCAACTCATTCAAAACCCATCCACTTACACAGAGCTCACTCACATCTGTTGTAGCACCACAGTTTGACCAATGGTTGAGATAAATCATTAATTCTTAATAGATGCAACCCTTTGTGTGGTCTGGTTGTTCCTGCCAGCCCTTGTCTCGCATATTCATGAAGCCACTTCATTCTGTATGTGTTTCGTTTCACAGTTTATTTTTAAAATCCAGTCCCAAAGCCTCATGGAATCCTGGGATGTGAAACCTGGCCAATTTCTGACAATTGTCCATTAAAAACAGCAATTTGGCCTTGAAGTTTAAATGCTGGCTCCCTTTCAGGTGAAGGCAATCTAGCTGATGGCCTGGCTCCATCTCCTTGATGTCAGCATTAATCTAATCCACACACTCGCTGCTTAGCCAACTGGGCTCCACGTGCCAGGATTTCTCACCATTGCTGATATAAGTTATTTTCTTTCATATTCTGTGACAAGATATGGGCATTATTGGAATTCACTACCATCCCTAATTGCCCCTTCAGAAGGTGGTAGTGAACTGCCTCCTTAGACAGTTGTTTACATACACCAATGGTGTTGTTAGTGAGAGTGTGTGTGTGTGTGTGTGTGAGAGAGTGTGTGTGTGTGAGGGTGTGTGTGTGTGCGCGTGAGAGAGTGTGTGTGCGTGAGAGTGCGCGTGCGTGAGAGTGCGTGTGCGTGAGAGTGTGTGCGCGTGAGAGTGTGTGTGTGTGTGTTTGTGTGAGAGTGTGTGTGTGTGTGAGAGTGTGTGTGTGCGTGAAAGTGTGTGTGTGTGCGCGAGTGTGTGTGTGCGAGTGTGTGTGTGTGTGAGTGTGTGTGTGTGCGTGAGAGTGTGTGTGTGTGTGTGAGAGTGTGTGTGTGTGCATCATACAGTGTGTCAGGAGTTAGCCACTGGAAATGGACACTGTTGTTGATGTGAACTGTAAACACCCCCGAGCACCAAACCATCATCTCCCAAACCATCCACAACCTCATCACCTCAGGTGACCTCCCACCCACGGCATCCAACCTCATCGTTCCCCAAACCTGCACCGCCCGCTTCTATCTCCTTCCCAAAATCCACAAACCTGACTGCCCTGGTCGACCCATTGCCTCCACCTGCACCTGTCCCACCGAACTTATTTCCACCTATCTCGAACTCCATTTTTTCTCCCTTGGTGCAGGAACTCCCTACCTAAGTCCATGACACCACCCACGTCCTCCACCTCCTCCAGAACTTCCAGTTCCCCGGTCCCCAACACCTCGTCTTTACCATGGACGTCCAGTCCCCATACACCTGCATTCCCCATACAGATGGCCTAAAGGCCCTCCGCTTCTTCCTGTCCCGCAGACCTGACCAGTCCCCCTCCACTGACACCCTCATCCGCTTAGCCGAACTCGTTCTCACCCTCAACAACTTCTCTTTCAATTCCTCCCACTTCCTACAGACAAAGGGAGTGGCCATGTGTACCCACATGGGCCCAAGCTATGCCTGCCTCTTTGTAGGTTACGTGGAACAATCCCTCTTCCGTACCTACACTGGCCCTAAACCTCACCTCTTCCTCTGTTACATTGATGACTGTATCGGCGCCGCCTCGTGCTCCCATGAGGAGCTCGAACAGTTCATCCACTTCACCAACACCTTCCACCCCACCCTTAAGTTCACCTGGACCATCTCTAATACCTCTCTCACCTTCCTGGACCTCTCTGTCTCCATCTCGGGCAACCACCTAGAAACCGATATCCATTTCAAGCCCACCGACTCCCACAGCTACCTAGAATACACCTCCTGCCACCCACCTTCCTGCAAAAATACCATCCCCTATTCCCAATTCCTTCGCCTCCGCCGCACCTGCTCCCAGGATGAGGCATTCCACTCCCGTATATCTCAGATGTCGTCATTTTTCAAGGACCGCAACATCCCCCCCTCAGTGGTCGAGAACGCCCTTGACCGTGTCTCCCGCATTTCCCACAACTCATCTCTCACACCCCGTCCCCGCAATAACAACCAAAGCAGAATCCCCCTCATCCTCACGTACCACCCCACCAACCTCCGGATCCAACGCATCATCCTCCGACACTTCCGCCATCTGCAATCCGACCCCACCACCAAAGACATTATTCCCTCCCCACCCTTATCTGCTTTCCGGAGGGACCACTCTCTCCGGGACTCCCTTGTCCGCTCCACACTCCCCTCCAGCCCCACCACACCCGGCACTTTTCCCTGCAACCGCAAGAAGTGCGACACCTGCCCCTACACCTCCCCCCTCATCCCCATCCCAGCCCCCAAGAAGACTTTCCACATCAAGCAGATGTTCACCTGCACATCTGCTAATGTGGTATACTGCATCCGCTGTACCCATTGTGGCCTCCTCTACATCGGGGAAACCAAGCGGAGGCTTGGGGACCGCTTTGCGGAACACCTACGCTCGGTTCGCACTAAACAACTGCACCTCCCAGTCGCGAACCATTTCAACTCCCCCTCCCATTCCGCAGACGACATGTCCATCCTGGGCCTCCTGCGGTGCCACAACGATGCCACCCGAAGGTTGCAGGAACAGCACCTCATTTTCCGCTTGAGAACCCTGCAGCCCAATGGTATCAATGTGGATTTCACAAGCTTCAAAATCTCCCCTCCCCCTACTGCATCCCAAAACAAGCCCAGCTCGTCCCTGCCTCCCTAACCTGTCCTTCCTCCCACCTATCCTCTCCTCCCACCTCAAGCTGCACCCCCATTTCCTACCTACTAACCTCATCCTGCCCCCTTGACCTGTCCGTCCTCCCTGGACTGACCTATCTCCTCCCTACCTCCCCACCTACACTCCCTTTACTGGCTCCATCCCCGCCTCTTTGACCTTCTGTTTCCTCTCCACCTATCTTCTTCTCTATCCATCTTCTATCCGCCTCCCACTCTCTCCCTATTTATTTCACAACCCCCTTCCCCTCCCCCATTTCTGATGAATGGTCTAGGCCCGAAACGTCAGCGTTCCTGCTCCTATGATGCTGCTTGGCCTGCTGTGTTCATCCAGCTCTACACCTTATCATCTCAGATTTTCCAGCATCTGCAGTTCCTACTATCTCTAATACTTTTGAATGTCATTTTGTAAACTGCTGTGTGGATAGCTATGTGAAGGATTTGGGAACCACAAGCTAGTGCCACAGTGAGTGTGAAGAGGCCAGGCAGCCTGCTGCTTTGTACTGTGCCAGTTAGTTGTTCGCTAATGGGGCTAGGATGAACTGTGGTTAGCAGCATCTTGCAATCCACACTCTCCATCAGTTGAAGGGCGAAGAAAGCAAGTGCATGGATGCAACCAGCTGAAGTGGAAATGTGTTCCCTTTCCTGGTCACAATCCTGGGACTCCCTCTCTGACAGCACTATGGGTGCACCTTCACCATATGGACTGTAGTGGTTCGAGAAAACAGCTCACCACCTCCTCAAGGGGCAATTAGGGACTGCAGTAAATGCCAGCAATTCCCACATCACAAGAATGAATTGGCTTCCTTCCTCCGGTCCATTGGATATCTAAACTGAGGCACTAATTAGTGTCAATAAATACCTAAGGGAAAGCTCCACCTTGACCACTGGGGGCAGGAGGGCAATAAACAGGAAGGAGAAACATCTGGGGGTGAACATTTCTGGCAAGAGTGGAACTAATGGACACAGATCTAAAGAACACCGTGTTCAACACTCATCAAGGTCTAGGGAAGAAGGTGTATATGGTGGATGGTGATACCGTGAGACTCATTAATACGTTCAAACAACATTAACTGTTTCCCTTTCCTGTTTAGGTCTGGCTAGAGCCAAATCTGTTCCTACAAAAACCTATTCAAATGAAGTGGTAACGTTATGGTACCGACCCCCAGATGTCCTCATGGGCTCCACAGAATACTCGACACAGATTGACATGTGGTGAGTGGCCGGCAGAAAATTAAAATATTTACATGTTTCCAATCCTTTAGATTTTACTGCCAAGCCCCTTTCCAATAATCAATGGGGTAGCATCAATAATTGCGTGGGAAACAGACAATAATCTGAGATTTGTACTCTTTGTATCCAAGATTTTCATTCATATAGCAACTTTCAACATGTCCCAAAGTGCTTTACTGCCAATGGTATGCAGTCATTGTTGTAGTGTAGGAAAAAAGGTAATCAATTTGCCCACAGCAAGATCCCACAAACATCAATGAGATAATTGAACACGTAATTTGTTTTTAATAATGTTGTTTGAGAGATACTTGTTGAGCAGGGCACCAAGGGTAACTCCTACAATTCTTTGAAATATCCATACAATATTTTACATTTACTTCAAAGACAGCATGGACTTTGGTTTAACAAATTATCTCAGAGGCAGTGATTTCAACAGTTCTGCACTCTTTCAGTACCTGCACTAGTAACATTAACCTACATTTATATGCTGTAGCCTCCAGAGTAGGACTTGAACTTTTGACTTTCTGACTCAGAGTTTAGAGCAATATGTGCTGTGTTCTGTCTCACAACAGATGTGCAATCTGTCTTTAAGAGTATGTGGTGATATATGAAAAGTTCATGAAGTCATTATTGTATCATGGCATGTGACTGACTGGTACAAAAGTTTCAGCCTCCATCTTACTGAGCTCTATCCTCTTGCAGCATGAAATGCTGAGGGTAGGATGCTGCAGTATGTCTGAATTGCTTAGCATGAGCCTAGACACACGAGTGTTTGGAATTGTCGTGTATAATCCAGGAGCTGGAATAAAAGTTCATTGAATTCTTCAGAGTTAAGTGATGCAATTTTGTCTTTATGCCTTGGGAAGTAACAGTTACAGATAATCAGTGTAGTTCACCACTTCACATCCCAGTGGCAGTGTGGTGGTAACCACCAGTTACTGCTTTTTAAAGAATCCTCACTGAAGATTACATAGTGCTGAATTGTAAAGCATTTTGATAACTGACCACAATAAGTTTGTATAAGTACAGATCTCCAACTTAAATAGCCCGGAGGCATGCTTGTGTTCTCTCTGGTTAAAATTAAGACCTATCAAGCTGGAAACCCTCTATTTTTTTTATGAAAGTATAAAATGTGTCTTTCTGTTTCCGAGCATAAAGGTTAAGATACAACAGTCAAAAAGCTTCTTATAAGTTTAAAAGTAGAATCCACAGTCAGAACACTTCCTTACAGGCTTAAAACTGACTTTCGGTGTTAAAGAACTCTTGTCAGTTTAACTAAAATGCTTTCCTGTTCAATAAAAAGGCATTCTAAACATCAAAAAGTGATTTTCTGACCTAGAAATGCTTATTTGTGTGCAGTAATTGGTTGTTTCTGTCTTTTTATTTCCTTCAATTTGTCATCAAATCTGATGTGAAGTTGTCACTCCTTATCTGGTGTAAACGTCCTCCTGATGGCTGAAACCTACTAATACAGAATCTTTATTAATTTGATTTAATGTTTAAATTGCCAGGTATATTTTGTTACAAAATACTGTGAAAAGTCAAAATATAGTGAGAACTCTCGAGCTCCATCTTAGAACACAGAAAAATAAAACCAAAGCATAGAATATAAAGTAAAAAATAAAGAAATAAAGAAAAAATGTTCAACTTTACAGTCCTTCTTGTTAAGTGCTCCGCCATTGGCCATGGGCCGAGTGGCCAGGCACAAGTTTCATTTGCTATGCCACCACTGGAATGAAAGCCACCCTCCATCTCACATCGACTGATCCCCTCACCACTATGAGTCCTCACTGGACCTCACCAATGTAGACATCAACAGTGCCACCAGGTACTGCACCAGCCCAAATTCAATTCCGCTGGCGCTATCAGTCCACTTCGGGCCCACCTCACCAATGCAGCCACTGCCAATACTGCCAGGTCTCATTCTAGGCCCAAACACGCCTCCACTGCTGCCTCCATGAATGTGCGCTGGATGCAGATGACACCTCTTAAAGTTGCAGATCCATGCTTAGGAAAACTTATTTCAGAGATCAAAGCAAAAGAAGGTAAAATATAATGACAGAGCAGCAAACCATGTAACAGGAATGAAGAATCAAGCCCTCTAATCCACTTCAATAAAATGAAAATCACAAAGCATGAACAAGAAACGCAAGGTAAGCATTTGATAATGGTTTGGGCATTGACTGACATTTTCACTAAATTACAGTTGATTAAGCAACATGTGCTGCTTTACTTTGCAAATCAAACCATAACTAAGCCTGGTTCGGCCACATGTGGAGTATTGTGTCCAGTTCTGGTCGCCTCATTACAGGAAAGATGTGGAAGCGTTAGAAAAGGTGCAGAGGAGATTTACCAGGATGTTGCCTGGAATGAAGGGAAGGTCTTACGAGGAAAGGTTGAGAGAGCTAGAGCCTTTCTCTTTAGAACAACGAAGGATGAGAGATGACTTGATAGAGGTGTACAAAATGATCAGAGGTATAGATAGAGTGGACAGCCAGAGACATTTTCCTAGGGTGGAGGTAGCTATTACAAGGGGGCATGGTTTAAAACTGAGTGGAGATAGATATAGGGGAGAAGTCAGAGGTAGGTTCTATACTCAAAGAGTGGTAGGGACGTGGAATGCGTTGCCGGAGAGGGTAGTGGAGTCGGCCTCATTAGGGGCATTTAAGTGGATATTAGATAGGCATATGGATGATAGTATAAGGTAGGGGTGGAGGTTAAATAGACCTTAGGATTAGTGTAAAAGTTCAGCACAACATCGTGGGCCGAAGGGCCTGTACTGTGCTGTACTGTTCTATGTTCTATTTCTATGTTAATCCCAAAAGGAGATCTCTTAAAATATTGCTTCTTATTAGCAAGGAGGGGTTCCATAGAATAGAGGGAGCCAATCATTCTGAGGGATGAGTGCTCAATACATCCAATTAGCTCAGCGCAGACACACAAGTGCCTATGATTGTAATATAGATATATAAATGCCAGGAGCAATAACAGTGTGGTGCTGTGGGGAATCCCTGTAACCCATCCAAATCTGGTGAGGAAACAGCCTAGTGGTATTAACGGTGAACTGTTAATCCAGAGAAAAAACTGCAGATGTAGTAAATCAGAAAGAAAACAGAAGTTGCTGGAAAAGCTCAGCAGGTCTGGCAGCATCTGCTTTCGTGGATATGGGCATTGCTGGCTGGGCCAGCATTTAGTGCCTATCTCTATTTGCCCATTGAGAAGGTGGTGGTGATCAGCCTTTTTGGAACACTGCTGTTCATATGCTGTAGGTAGATCCAAAATGCCATTAGGGAGAGAATCCCTGGATTTTGTCTCAGTGACATGAAGGAAGAATGATACATTTCCAAGTCAGGATGGTGAGTGGCTTGGAGGGAAGTATGCAGACGATGATGTTCCTATATATCTGCTGCCCTTGTACTTCTAGATGGAAATGATCGTAAGGTTTGGGAGGTGCTGTCTTAAGACCCTTGGTGAATTTCTGTGTTGCAACTTGTAAATGGTACACATTGCTGCTACTATGCTTCAGAGGTAGAGGGACTGAATATTTGTGGATGTGGTACCAATGAAGTTGTAAACTGACACTATCCCAATTAGTCGCTCTGAAGTAGAAAGAGTTGTGTAGATTATTGATCTACTCTAGACTGTAACTATTACAGGGCATGGCTTTGTTCTAGATTCAGGTCTCCGTATTGAATGTGCGACAATCCCAATCTCCTTTTCTCTGCTCATCATTTCCAGGGGAGTTGGTTGTATTCTATATGAAATGGCTGCTGGAAGGCCTCTGTTTCCTGGGTCCACAGTGAAGGAGGAATTGCACTTAATTTTCAGGCTTTTAGGTAAGTGCAGTATTGAGGTACACTGATTGAGACATTCAGAATACACTAAGCCCCAGTTCCTGATGTGAGTTTAGCAATCCAAGTTCACATATTCATGACAAAGATGTTAGCTATGCTGAAAACTTTCATTAGGAAAGTAAATAAGTTGAAAATGTCATTACAAAACATAACAACAATAACTTTGCAACTCTTAGATCTTGAATTGTATAACTTCAGAAACTGCCCTTATGATATCTGCTTAGCATTTTGTTACATTCTCTCCCTCACATGGCTTTGTCTTATTTGTGTCGTGTTTACTTTTCTCTCAGTAAAGAGGACCCCTTTTCTCCCTTTTGCACCTTGATTTACACCCACTTTACACCTCTATTTATTTTCTTTCATCACAATGAACAAACCCTTTCTCTTTTGCCCTGGACCTCTACACCATTTGTTCCCTTTCTTTCTCCTCCTCCTCCTCTGTTGAAAGTATAAAAAAAACACTCTCCAACTCTTTCAGTTTTGAAGCAGAGTCATTCGGGCCTTGAAACATGAATTCTGTTTCTATTTCTCTCTCTACTGATGCTGCCAGACCTGCTGAATTTCTCCAGCAATTGCTGTTTTGGTTTCAGAACTTCAGCATCTGAAGTATTTTATGTTTATTACAATGCTGTAATGTTTCATGAATGTAATGAAACATCTCCAATCCTCCACAGGAGCTTCATAAAATAAAATATGAGCCACACAAAGAGATATTAGGGCAGATGACCAAAAGTTTAGTCAAAGAAGTAGATTTTCAGATAAAAGTAAAATGTCACAGATGCTGAAAATCTAAAATAAAACAGAAAATGCTGGAGAAACTCAACAAGTCTGGCAGCATTTGTGGACAGCAACATTTAGGGAAGGAATTTCAAAGTTTGGGGCTGAGTCTACGAATGGTGGAGCAATTACAATTGGGAACGCACAAGGGGCCAGAATTAAAGGATTGCAGGTCTCTCAGAGGGTTATGGGCCGGTGGGAATTACAGTGACAGGGTGGATGAGGCCATGGAAGGTTTTGAAAACAAAGATGAGAATCTTTAGCTTGCTGCTTTACAGGGAGCCAGTGAACACAGGATTAATAGGGGAATGGGACTTCCTGTGAGTTAAGGCATGGGCAGCTGAATTTTGGATGACCTCAAATTTATGGAAGGTTGAACATTGGAGTCCAGCTAGATGTGCTTTGGAATAATGAAGTCTAAAGGTAAGAAGGGCTGTGAATAATGGTTCCAGCAGCAGATGAGCTGAGACAGAGATGAAATTGAGTGTTGTTATGGAGGTGAAAAGATGAAGGTGAATCTTAGTTATTGTGCAAATATGTGTTTGAAAACTCATCTTGGGGTCAGATAACACACTAGAATTACACATTGACTGCGTTGTGCTAAAAGATTTAACAGGGACACAGTCAGAGTGAGTACTTAGGGACAATTTTCCCTCTAAAATCCAGTTTTTCTAGGATGGAAGAACTCCAAGCCTCAATCAATAAATGATTTGTTGAGACCATAAGATGTGGGAGCAGACTATTCGGCCCGTCGAGTCTTTCAATGAGATCATGGCTGATCTGATAATCCTGAGCTCCATTTTCCTGCCTTATCTTCATAACCCTTGATTCTCCTATGCCTTGTTCCAGGTACGCCAGGAGAAGACACATGGCCAGGAATAACATCCAATGAAGAATTCAAGGCTTATAATTTTCCTTACTACCGACAACAACCAATGATACACCATGTTCCCAGGTACACTGGAGGCCACATTCTTTATTTCTCCATTACTGTAAATCATGTATTAGCTAGAATTTACAGCACATCAGGCCATTCTGCCCAACATGTCTAAACTGTTTTTCTTTACTGGGATGTGGGTGTCACTAACCCATTCCTAATTGCCCTTGATCTGATTGGGTTGCTACAGCCATTTCAGACAACAGTCAAGAGTCAGTTACACTGCTGTGGGTCTGGAGTCACATGAAAGCCAGACCAGGTAAGCATGGCAGATTTCCTTCCGCGAAGGACATTGGAGAATCAGATTTAACAACAGTCAGTGATAGTTTCATGCTCAACACTACTGGTTTTGATTTCCACCATTATTAATTAAATTTAAATTCCACCCAGCCGTTTTGGTGAGGATTTGTATCCCAGAGTATTGGGGCTTTAAAATAGTAGTTCTGTGACATAGAAACATAGAAGATAGGAGCAGGTGGAGGACGTTCGGCTCTTCGAGCTTGCTCTGCCATTCATCGTGATCATGGCCGATCGTCCAACTCAATAGCCTAATCCTGCTTTCTCCCCATAACCTTTGATGCTATTCACCCCAAGTGCTTTATCTAGCCACCTCTTGAATACATTCAATGTTTTGGTATCAACTACTTCCTGCGGTAATAAGTTCCACAGGCTAACCACTCTTTGGGTGAAGAAATGCCTCCTCATCTCTGTCCTAAATAGTCTATCCCAATTCTTCACACTGTGACCCCTGGTTCTGGATACACCCACCATCGGGAACATCCTCCCTGCGCCTATCCTGTCTAGTCCTGTTAGAATTTTATAACTCTCTGTGAGATCCCTCCTCATTCATCTGAACTCCAGCAAAAACAATCCTAACCTAGTCGATCTCTCCTCCTATGTCAGTTCTGCCATCTCCAGAATCAGCCTGGTAAACCTTCGCTGCACACCGTCAAGAGCAAGAGCATGCTTCCTCAGAAAAGGAGACCAAAACTGCACACAATATGGCCTTACCAAGGCCCTGTATAACAGCAACAAAACATCCCTGCTCCTGTACTCAAAGCTTCTCGCAATGAAGGCCAACATACTATTTGCCTTCTTTACTCCCTGCTCACCTTGCATGCTTACCTTCAGCAATTGGTCCACAAGGAATCCCAGGTCCTACTGCACACTCCCCTCTCCCAATTTACAGTCATTCAGGTAGTAATCTGCCTTCTTGTTTTCACTTTCAATTTTATTTGCACTCTCACCCAACCTGTCCAGATCATGCTGAAACATCTCTGCATCCTCAGCACAGTTCACCCTCCAACCTAACTTGCTTTCTTCTGCAAACTTTGAGATGTTACATTTTGTTCCTCATCCAAAGCAGTCACATCGATCCCTGTGGCACCCACTATTTACTGCCTGCCAATTTGAAAAGGACCCATTAATTCCTACTCTTTGTTTCCTCTCTGCCAACCAGTTTTCTATCCATCTCAATACACTTCCCCCAATCCCATGCGCTTTAATCTTCCACAATAATCTCTTATGCGGGACTTTATCAAACGTTTGCTGAAAGTCCAATTATATCACATTGACTGGCTCCCCTTTGTCAACTCTACGAGTTACATCTTCGGAGAATTCCAACACATTTGTCAAGCATGATTTCCCCTTCATAAATCCATGCTGGCTTTGTCTGATCCTGCCACTGCTTTCTAAATGCTCCACTATAAAGTCCATGGTAATGGATTCAAGAATTTTCTCCACTACTGAAGTTAGGTTTACTGGTCTATAATTCCTTGTTTTCTCTCTACCTCCCTTTTTGAATAATGGAGTGACATTAGCCACCCTCCAATCTACAGGGACTGTTGCAGAGTCTATAGAATCTTGGGAAGATGACCACCAATGCATCCACTATTTCCACTGGATTTCTAATCCATATTACCAGTACATCACATATAAAAATATATTATACATGTTACACTATCATAACAGTGATCCCTGTGACTTGGTGCTCTTATCTCTGTGCCAAAAGGTTGTAGCTTTAAATCTGTCTCTAGAAACTTGAGCCCATACATTTGTTATAACTAAGGAAATACTGCACTGTCAGAGTTGCCGACTTTCAGACAAGATTTTTCAAACTGATGTTCCACTTGGTTGTTGGAGGGCAATTAAGTGCGGGATGGTGTCCTCATGTATCTGTTGCCCTTTAGGTAGAAAAGGTTGAAGGTTTGGAAGATGCAATGAAAAGATTCTTGATGAGTTACTGCACTGCATCTTGTAGATAATAGAGAACAATCACAGTTCTTCCAGTTCTCCATGTAACATTTCTCTGTCTGCTATTTTTAACGTAGCAATGACAGATCTATTTTAAATGAGTTGGCATAGCCTCTAAAACCTGGACTGAGGAATTTCAGGTGAATATTTTAAGCGTCTATCTGGCAATATTAGCAAGGATAACTTGCAGTCCGCGTTTAGTTTGATAATTATCTATGGTGATGTTGAAAATATTTCAATTTCTGTTTCTCCAGATTGGATGCTGAGGGTCTAGATCTTTTTGCAAACCTTTTACTGGTAAGCAGCTAAATAATCAATAAATTACAAATGGATTTCTGTAACTGCATGCAATTTTATGACAATTGTTTAATTTTCCATACCTTTCGAAAGACGAGAATGTTCTCACGCAATTTTTAACTACAGCAAGAATTTTTGCTTTTATTATTAAACAGGATGTGGGATTGCTAGTACAGCTAGCATTGATTGCCCACACTTAATTGCCCTTAAAAAGGGAGCTGATGTTCTTGTACTTTTTGTGGTGGTAGTACAGCTACAACGCCATTGGAAGGGGGCAAGGAATTTTTCACAACTACAACTAAGAGATGGCAATACACTTCCAAATCAGGATGGTGTGTAGTTTGATGGGGGACTCGGGTGGCATGATTTCCTCATGTATCTGTTGGGTAGGAAATAAAGATTTGGAAGATACTGTGAAAAGAGTCTTGATGAGTTACTGCACTGCATCTTGTAGATAATGAAGAGCAATCCCAGTTCTTCAAGTATCTCCACAGAACATCTTCCCCACTTGCATGCTGGTCTAAAGGTTTCAACAGAATTGCATGAGGCAGGTTAATCATAAGGCCTGAAGGAATGAGGAAACTGTTACAAGCCCCAAAATTCAGAGTGAGAAATGCTGAGAAATTGTTTCTGCAAAGTGTACAGAAAGGTTCCATTCTGCAATGCCACGGGCCAGCAGTATTGGCTTTGCTGATGATTGCAGCAAACAATCCATTTGTTGTGCTGCTCTTTCAGGTTTCAGCTCCTGCTGATTGGGATTATGTTTTGTGTAAAGCTGCAACGATCTGCAAAGGAACCGATGGTGAAGTGAGGAAAACATTTAATGGAATGCACTGGCTGAGGCAGAATTAATTTATTACATTCAAGAGGACAATGGATAAAAATTAGGTGCAATGTTATAGGAAAATGGTAGGAGAGTGGCACGAGGTAATGATGCTTATTTAGCAATGGGCAATTAGCCTTCCTTTGTGCTGTAACACTTCTGTCATTCTGTGAGTTTACTTTTGAAACTCTTATTAGAAACAGATTTATTTAAACGTGGGCTTGTGTTGTCTTCCTCTTGAACTGTCCTGCTTTCACTGAAGTTAGGTCAAGTCAAATTGCTGGTAGATGTTGACTGACATTTCAATTCATTTCTCTATCTCAGTACGAGGCCAAGAAGAGGATTTCAGCTGAGGACGCTCTTCAACACCTTTATTTCAAGAACTTGGGAGAAAGAGTGCACTTTCTACCAGACAGTGAGTCCCTTCTCAATGTGGAATCCTTTCCCACCCTATGCCGGGATCTCATGTTTTGCTGTGAAGCTGTCTAGGGTTTTGGGTGCTCTGCTGTTCTCACTGGCATCTTGAAATGTCCCACTCTGCCTAAGCACCAAGAGTAAGGCAATGGTTCCAGCAATACACTGTCTTGCCTCTAAGGCCAAAAGGTTATGAATTTAAGCACCATTCGAGTGACTTGAGCCTATAATTAATGTCAACACTTACACTGCAGTGGCTTTTGGATACAACATTAAACTAAGACCCTGTTGCACTATTCAAAGAAGTTCTCTCAACTAATATCACTAAAAACTGATAACCTGTTCATTGATTTATTGGCTGTTGTGGGATCTTGCTATGCAAAGTCTAATGCTGTGTATCCTATATCAGTAGAATGGATACAGCATAGAAGAAGGCCATTCAAACCATTGCGTCCCTGCAACCTCTCTGGAAGAACAGCTCAAACAGTACCTGCCCCCACCCCTTCATTGTAACCATCCAATTGTTTTCTCTGCAAATGCTTAACCTTCTTAAAAAAAAGCACAATTGAACTTGCTTCTACCACATTCTGAGGCACTGCATTCCCAATCCTTGCCACTTGCTGTACTTTCTTATGTTACAATTGGCTCCTATGCCATGCACTTTATACCTCTGTCCTCTGGTTCCATTAAGAACAGTTTCTCCCTACCTCCTCTGTCCTCATCCCTCTTGAACATCTCCAAGAATGTCCTTTTTAACCTTCACTTCTCCAAAGAGAACAATCCCAAGTCCTCCAGTCTATTCACGCATCTGAAGACCCTCAGGAATTATTCTTCAGAAACCATCACATCCTTCCTAAACCGCAGTGCCCAGATTTGCATGCAGTACTACGGTTGAGGCCAAACTAGGATTGTATACAGGTCCATCATTACCTGTTGGTTTTTTAATCTGTGTCGCTATTTATAAAGCCAGGAGGTCGTATGTTTCACTAGCCATTTTCTCAACCTGCCTCTGAAATCCTCAAAGATTTGTCCACAAATACCACCAGGACCCTGAGATCCAGAACCTGCCTTAGAATTGTATCCTTTATTTTATATTGTCTCTTGTTCTTCCACCAACAATGTATCACTTCACAACTTCTTTATATTGAATTTTATCTGCCATGTGTCTACTGCTTTTATGACCCTTAATAGTGTCACCTGACAAATATCCATCAACTTCAGTTTTGACATTTTCAATTGATTTTGGCTCACAGTAACTGCCTCCGACCTCTAGCCTCAACAGTTTCCTGGGAAAACAGTTTGAGATCGCCACACTACACTTTGTGTAAAGAAGTGCTTCCTGACTCCATCCTGAAGACCCAAACTGTAACCTTAAGGTGATGTCCTCTTGTTCTGGATTCTCCCCCGAGATGATCTTTATTGATCAGCAGTATCAAAGCCTTTCATCTGCTTCAGTGCCTCAAATAAATTGCCTGATGATCTGCCATACCTGAGGAAATACAATCCCAGGCTCTGTTTGATCACTTGGCTGGAAACATTGAGTCTCTTTCTCTGTCCACAGGTGCTACCAGACCTGCTGAGTTTCTCCAGCATTTTCTGATGTTGTAATTGCGCTCTTTTTGCCATAGTCTAATTTTTTTGGTAGACACAAAGTGGGCTGTTCTCTTGGTCCCTGTTTACTCATTTCCCCAGGTAATTATGAACAGTCTCTCGCTGAGATTGAAGCTCAGTTGGCTGGGCAGCTGGTCTGTAATGCAGCATGGGTTCAATCCCTGCACCAGCTGAGGTTACCATGAAGGACTGTCCTTCTCAAACTTTCCCCTGACCCGAGGCAAGGTTGAGCTACCATCGGTTATTTCTCTCTCCAGTGAGACAGCAGCTCCTGTTGTGCAGTAAGACTGAGATGACTTACTTTATACTAATGACAGACTCAGGCCTTGACTGCATTCGCGCACCAATTCCCACCCACCTGGCCCCAACACCCCCGATCCCAACCACCCACCACACCCATGGAAAATCCACTTCCACTCTTGTTTTGAGCAGATTTATAGACTGAGATGTCTATTCAAGTTCAAAAGTAATAGGTTACAAATGCCCCTTTGCTTACAATATCAAACAGACATACCGTGCTGTACACATTGTATAATGAGAGCCTCGAATTACAAATATTTCTGCTTAATGTTACGAAACCATTCTGCTTAAATCAACACTCAGTTCACAGCTTTTACTCAATGTTCTGTCCCCCATTCTGACATGATTTCTATTGGGTGTGAAACCCATTCTGCTCTGTTGTATGTGCATCCACAATAATGAAACAATTGTCCTTCTCAAACCATTTAAAATATTTCTAGATGAATTATAAGATGTCCAAGTGCTATGTTTCATTTCTCACCCATGAGAATGCAAACCAGGAAGAGCAGGAAATGGATAAAGCCTGTAAATGCCTTCTATGTTCAAGCAGCTCACCTATTCTCACAGTTTAGATTCACTCGGGTTAGATGCTGGGTATGAAATCTTTGATGATATGCTTATTGCCCCCACAAATTATCGCACAAGGTCAAACCTACCCCATCACTTTCAAAATATTCCAATGAGTGGCACTTGCAGTGAGATTGCCTTTCTGCTCATATAATTTTTTCCGTTAAGTACTGAGCTCTGCATTTCTAGTTAAGAATTCCCAATCCGGCCCCTTCAGAAATGCGAAGCTGAACTCGACACGGTTCCCCTGTTGTACAGGGTAAATGGCAGGAGTTAAACCCTGCTCTGTTTTACAGCAGCCAGCGTGCTGGGCTCTGAGGTTTCACTATCCGGCAGCACATCCAGCAGCTCTGACAGTCATTGTGAAACGGTAAACTTGGAAAGTAAGTGTGGAATTAGGGTGGCACTTGGTTAAGGGGTCAGGCTGACAAGTGGATAGGGTAGGTAGGGGGAGTGGTGGTGCCAGGTAAGTGGGGAGGGTGGTGAGGGCTGAGTATGTCAAGGCCAGGGGTTCAGGCAGCAAGTTAATGGGGAGGCAATGGCCTAGTGGTATTATCGCTGGACTGTTAATTCAGAGACCCAGATAACATCCTGGGGACCCCAGGTTCAAATCCCGCCATGGCAGATGGTGGAATTTGAATCCAATAAATATCTGGGGAATTAAGAATCTAATGATGACCATGAATCCATTGTCGATTGTCAGGAAAAACCCATCTGGTTCACTAATGTCCTTTAGGGAAGGAAACTGCCATCCTTACCTGGTCTGGCCTACATGTAACTCCAGACCCACAGCAATGTGGTTGGCTTTTAACTGCCCTCTGGGCAATTAGGGATGGGCAATAAATGCTGCCTAGCCAGTGATGCCCTCGTCCCATGAATGAATAAAGGAAGTTGGAGGGGGTTTCAGGGTTTGTGGGGATTCAGGCTGGTGGTAATTGTGTTGGGTTGGGTTTGGTGGGGTTGTCAGGGGTATCATGGGCTTTTACAGAGATTGACAGTCATTAAACAGCTCCCATTAGAATAGCGTTTTAATCCCAGATTTTTTTTTTTTAAAACTTGAATTCCAATTTCACCATCTGCTAGATGAGCCCAGAACCTTAGTCTGGATTTCGGAATTACTCATCTACTGGTATTACCATTACACTGGGGCTTCACTTTGCAAATGCATTATAAAACAGAGCATAACATCAAGCCGCAGAAGGGGGTATGAGGTGAGGTGACAAAGGAGGTATGTTTTAAGATATGTCTCATATTGGAGGAAAGCTGTAGAGAGACTATTACAGAGCTTAGGGTCCAGATACCAGAAGGCAGAGTCGGCAGTAGTGGTGTGATTAAAATCGGACAGGTTCAAGGGGTCAGTGTTAGAGAAGTGCAGATAACTTTGTGGGCTATTCGGCAGGAGGAGATTACACAAATGGGAGAAGAGCAGGAGAGGTCATGGAGGGATTTGAAAATCAGGCAGAGGAGTTGTAAATGAAGATTGTTTGACTAGACGACATTGTAGGTCAGTGAGTATAGTGAGACCAGGGGAATGGAGAATTTGTTGCGTGGGGCAAATTGGGTTGAGTGGTCTGTTTCAGTTCTGTCATTCTGCGTCATCACCACCTGATACCTAGCTGTCCTGGGGAAGTGGTGTACTGCAAATCAGCAACACAGTATTCCCTATTTTCCCTTCCTTGGGAACACATGGGAATGATTCTGGTAATGCAATGCCTGTTTGCGAGCCCTGTTTTGCCTGGAATTATATACACTGAGTATGACAGTACAAAGGAAATATTAGTCACAGATCTCTGAACCAAATTTTTTTTTTTTTTTATCTATCTCTCCTATGTAGCTATTAGTATTTTCACATTGAAAGAAATCCAATTGCAGAAGGATCCTGGTTATCGAGGGTCTTCATATCCCCAATCCGGTAAGTTTGTATGGCTTACCAGACCAATGCAACAATCAGAACTGATGGGAAAAAAAGAAATTAAGCAAAAAAATTATCAAGGATTAGAGAAGGACAAGCAGAGATTCACCTTCAATAAAGCGGCATAGTGGCTCAGTGGTTAGCACTGCTGCCTCACAGCGCCAGGGACCCGGGTTTGATTCCACCTTCGGGCGACTGTCTGTGTGGATTTTGCACATTCTCCCCGTGTCTGCGTGGGTTTCCTCTGGGTGCTCCGGTTTCCTCCCACAGTCCAAAGATGTGCAGGCTAGGTGGATTGGCCATGCTAAATTGCCCGTAGTGTTCAGGGATGTGTAGATTAGGTGGGTTATAGGGGAATGGGTCTGGGTGGGATGCTCTGAAGTTCGGTGTGGACTTGTTGGGCTGAAGGGCCTGTTTCCACGCTGTAGGGATTCTATGAAAGCAATTTAACATTAAAGCTGGATAACAAAGCCTCAGGGTATTTCCTAAGAGCCAGAAAACTGGTATTCCAGAGTAACTGGAATCAGAACAGAGGTATTCCAAGAATAACTGGGATCAGGGCACTGGTATTTCTGGGGTAACTGAGATCAGTGCGCTGGCACTCCCAGAATAACTTGCTACCAGAGATAGTAGTAGATTTATGATATATTTAGGGGGACGTTTGATAAAGACATGAGGGAGAAGAGACTGAGAGAGATAGTAGGAACTGCAGATGCTGGAGAATCCGAGACAACAAGATGCAGAGCTGGATGAACACAGCAGGCCAAGCAGCATCATAGGAGCAGGAAGGCTGACGTTTCGGGCTAGGCTAATAGAGTTAGATGGGAAAGGATGGCCGGAGATTCAAGTGGAGCAGAAAAGTCAGCATGGGTTGGTTGAGCTGAATGGCCTATTCCTGCGTTGGACATGTCACATTTGTGTAGGATCTGACCTATCATTTTCCATTTTCCAGCCCGGGGAAAGAATCGAAGACAAAGTGTTTTATTCTAGATGGAGCCGTGCTTCTGCCTCGCCGCTACATTACAAAAGAACAACAGCTCCCGGTCGCTTTGTAGTAGTGGGGTGGGTGGAGTTGAGGGTGGGGGCTTCACTCTGCAGCATGGAACGGGACCAGGTGAGGCTCCGACAGTAAATCAAGATGATGCCTGTGTGAGATCAGCATCCTCCAACTGTGATCTTATACATCATCTCAAATCACTCGGAACAGAGAGACTCAGAGCCTCAGGCTTGTTCTACACTTCGATTAGATTCTAACTCCATGAACTCACCTTGGCACCAAATGCTGAATCTCCACGAAAGATATTTGGATTAAATCCTAATGCTACTAACTGGCTTCATTACCCGCGTGCCCAGTTACAACTGTGCCAATTACCACGTTTCGTCATGGTGAGATATCCATTGCTAGTCTCCAGTACTGCATCCCAGTACAGCAGTTTTGTGCTGAAGCTGTCTCCCCATCAGTTTAGAACTATCTAGCTTTGACATCCAACAGCTAATGCTCCCCCCATCCCTCTTCCCCACATCCTCACTTTTGCAGAGATTATAGAATTCTGCTAATAGTTTTCCTCAAAACTGCACATCCAAAGCATTCATGGGGCATTAGCTTGTTGCAGGTTTAAGGGGGCAAGTGTCACAGTGGTCTCCAGGAGAACAGGTTCAAACAGGCCCTGGTGGGCAAGGTGTCAGGACACCTCAGGGTTTATTGCTGGCACAGAGGGCAAGGATGATAACAGACTTAATAGGCACAGAATCATGGCAAGCCCAATGGACACAGGTTCACTGAAGGACCATGAGAACACAACTAGCATGAGTTTGGTTCCTTCTTTCCTTCTTCTCTGTCTCCCTTTTTCATTCCCTCCATCCTTTTTTCTATCCCTTCCTTTCCTTTCTTCCCTCCCTTTCTCCTTTTTCTCCTTCCTTCCTTCATTCCTTCCTATTTTTAATTCCTTCCTACCTTTCTCCCTCCCTTCCTTTTCTTCCTCTATTTGTATCTTCCTTTCCTTCCAGCTCTCTGAGGGGATAGCCGAGTGATCAGCCAAGCACATTTACAAATACACAAACGAGGAACAAGAGTAGGCCACTTGTTCCTTAAAGCCTGCTCTCTGATTTGATAAGATCGTGGCTCATCCGATTTTAAGCTCAACTCTACATTTCTGTATATCCCCGATCACCTTTCATCCCCTTGGTAATGAAGAATGTATCTACCTCTACCTTACAAGTATTTATAGATTCTGTATTCACCGCCTTTTGAAGAAGTGAATTCCAAAGACACTCAACCCTGTGAGAGAAAGAAAAAAAATTCCTGTTCTCTGTCTTAAATGGGCGACCTCCTATTTTTAAACAGTGACCCTTGTTCTAGATTCTCCCACAACAGGAAACATCCTTTCCACATTCACCCAGTCAAGTCCCTTCAAGGTCTTATTCATTTCAATTAAGTCACCTCTGACTCTTCTAACTGCACAAGATACAGGCCTAACCTTTCCTCATAAGGCAATCTGCTCATTCTAGGTGTTAGTTTAGTAAACCTTCTCTGAACTGCTTCCAGATTATTCACATCCCTCCATAAGTACGTGACCAGTACTGTACACAGTAGTCCAGATGCAGTCTCACCAATTACCCTGCATAACTGAAGCATTTGGCATGGTCATGCTTATTTCCTGGCCCAGGTGAGATCATTCATGTCCTCACAGTGAAAAGGTGGCTCTGAAAATACGAGCCAGTCTGTACAGCCCAAAACTATAATGACTCCCCTGGGAGAGCACAGCAACATGGGAAGGCAGGGTCCTGAAGGAGAGGCATATACAGTCATAGAGCTGTACGGTACGGAAGTAGACCTTTCAGTCCAATTTGTCCATACCGACCACATATCCTGAATTAATCTCGTCCCATCTGTCAGCATTTGGCACATATCCCTCTAAACCCTTCCTATTCATGTATCCATTCATTTAAATGTTGTAATTGTACCAGCCTCCACCACTTCCTCTGGCAGCTCATTCCATACACACACCATCTTCTGTGTGAAAAAATGTGCCCCTTAGGTCCCTTTTATGTCATTGCTCTCACACCTTAAATCTATGCCCTCTGGTTTTGAACTCCTCTCCACTGGGAAAAAGACCTTGGCTATTCACCCTATCCATGGCGCTCATGATTTTATAAATCTCTACAAGGTCACCCCTCAGCCTCTAACACTCCAGGGAAAACAGCCCCAGCCTATTCCACCTCTCCCTACAGCTCAAACCCTCCAAGCCTGACAACATCCTTGTACATCTTTATCAAACCCTTTCATGTTTCACAACATCTCTCCTAGATGGCAGGGAGACCAGAATTGAACGCAGTATTCCAAAAGTAGCCGAACCAATATCTTGTACAGCCACTATATGACCTCCCTACTCCTATACTCAATGCTCTAACCAGTAAAGGCAAGCATGCCAAATGCCTTCTTCACCACCCTGTCTACTTGCTTGAAAGAGTGAAATGGGAGAATGGAACCAGGGAAAGAAAGATTTTTTCAATCAGTCAAACTACCTGTATGCTCCATTTCAATTGTGATTCACCTGACTTTGAGCACAGAAATTTCAATGTTACTAAGAGGACAAATATTGTTAAATCTGGAGGTGATCTGGAAGTGCACCATCGATCGATTATCCGTGCTGACATGTACCAGTGTTAAATTTCAGAATGCTAAACAACGTTGATAGCTTTTTTTTTAAAGCCTATGTGTTCTTGGGTAAGAATATCCTGAATTAAAGTGTGCTCTTGATCTGTATCCATTTGATTTAAGGTAACCCACTGTTTTCCACTTTTCAAACTTGTTTCTGGAAAAATATTGGAAGAGAGTCAGAATGTCAAACAAAAATAGTGAAAGCAATGTCCTGCAAATAGCATTGTTAAACTCAAGTTAGATCCAGTCTGTGCCCTTGCAAGAGACATACTATGCTTTTCAGCCTTTGTATAGTAGAAACTTTTGGGAGGCTCTCCTTTGAATGGGATATTAAAAAGAAGCTTCTTCTGCCCTCTCATGCTGATCCAAGGATGTTATTTTGAAGAGGAGCAGAGGAATTAGTCCTGGTGTCCTCAGGCCAACGAGATTGCTTTCAAAAAGAAAATGAGCAGATTTGCTTGCTATTACATTGCTGTTAGTAAAACTTTATGTGAGAAAATGGCTGCTGCAATTTCCATATTACAAAAGTGACTGCACTTAGAAAATACATAATGGGCTGTGACATGTCTTGGGATGTCTTACAGTAGAGAACAGCACTAAATAAATGCAAGTGTCTTTATTCTCTCTCCCGTCACCAGTCTCTGCACTGCTCACCTTGTGACCCTGGCAGATATTGTGTAGTTGCTACGCTAAACGTCTACATGTTATACTCAAGTATTGTAATTCAAATGTCACTTTACAGGAACACTCTGAGCTCCAACAAATTTCTATTTACTATGGAAATCATTCTCCTAATGTCTGACATCTGTCAGTGATTCTTTTTTTTTAACAGTTTCAAGTGTCAAGTGTCTCGCTGAGTCCTAAGAGCAACTATTTTGGATTTTTGTTTGTAAATATGAGAGTGCTTTGCCAACACAACCAGATGTTACTGCTCTTTTAGCCTGAAGCTAAGATGTTGGAGGGGTTTTCCTGGTCATTTACATCAGTCTATGAAAAGAATTATTATTGGGAGGATTTATGCAAAAATGACTTTTTAATAATTAAAAATTTCTAAAATCTTGCTTTGAAAAAAAAGGAATAACTAGATTCTTACCCCTTTGTGTAACTAATTGAAAAGCAGAATACTGCGTTTGTTAAAACCCTGCCATTAAAAACAGAAAATACCAGGAATACATAGCAGGTCAGGCAGAATCTGTAGAGAATCATAGAAGTCCTACAGTGTGGAAATAGGCCATTTGGCCCATTGAGTCTGCATCAACCCTCTGAACAGCATCCCTCCCGCATCCCTACCCAATCCCTGTAACCCTGCATTTACCATGGCTAATCCACCTAGCCTGTATATCCTCAGATAATACAGACAATTTAGCATGGCCAATATACCCAACCTGCACATCTTTGGACTGTGGATACCCACGCAGACATGGAGAGAATATGCAAAAACCACACAGACAGTCACTCAAGGTAGGAATTGGCGCTGTGAAGCAGCGGTGCTAACCACCGAGCCACAGAAAGAAAAAAGAAACTTTTTGTTGTTGGAAGGATTTATGTAAAACAAAGGTTTTTATTTAATGATTCAAACAGTTATAGAATTCCTTAAATCTTGTAAAAAAGGCGATAACTAGATTCTCAGTGCCTTCATATATCTAACTGAAAAGGAAAATACTGCGCTTGTCAAAAACTGGTCAGAAAAACAGAAAATCCTGGGAATACACAGCAGGTCACACAGAATCTGTCGAGTGAGAAACAGAGTTAATGTTTCAGGTTGATGACCACGTGTCAGAGTTGCAGAAATGTAAACTGAAACCTCAACCCTGTTCTTACGTGTACTTGTCTTTTGAACATGTTGCAAATTAGTTTGAAAACCAAATTGTTGCATGATCAATTTATGGGTGACCTGGGCTCAGGCAGAGGACAGGATCCAGTCTTTATGATGAGGTCTGACAGTCCTGGGGGCTAGAGTTTCATTTCTATCAAGCTGGAGGGGCAACATCAAAGATTTGTTCACTAAGTAAACCATGACTGGAATAGGAGATCAGAGAGGGCAGTACATGACTGAGGTTCAATAAGTAGTAGCAAATGATTGGTCAAAGGAGCATATTTCTCAGCCTCACGTTCAATTAATAGCTATTCCAGGCTGATTTTTCTTGTTTGCAATAGGGCGGATACAGTTCCAAACTGGAGACAATGGCCATTCACCTGACTGGCAGACACTGCTTACGCAATTGACAGGCATATGTGCGTAAGCTAATCATTAAAAGTTGAAAAGTAAAAACTAACAAAATGTTATGGAGAAAGATTTTTAGCTAAGAGTAATAGAATCAGAAAATACATTGGCAGGGATGACATTGAAGGTTAAAAAAAACAACAGAATACATTTATGTAGAGAGAAGGGTTTGAGGCCA